GGCATTTTAAGGCTGCACCGCCGCCAAATATCAGTCTGCCGCAAGAAAGAACTTGACAGCAATTCCGAATTATGGGGAAGCCGTCGACACTCGGAACATGAACACTAAGCAAAGGTTTTTGAATTTCCCATAATTCGCGGGCCGCAGCCGGTCAAGAGCCAGCGTCGAGAGCGGCGTGCTTGCCTGGTGGCCGCGCCGAGGGCACCAGGAAGGCCAGCGCAGGCGCCTAGGCTGCGGCGGACTGCCGGCCTATCGGCGAGGGTGTCGTGCACCCTGCGGAGGTTAGCGAGGGCGTCACCGCCGCGAGCGGCTGCGCGAGGTCGTAAGGCGCCCGATGTGGCCAGGAGGCCACGGGCTCTCGGTAGCAAATCATGGGAGCCCGGTCTACCCTCTCAGTTCCGTCTTCAGCGTCGGCTAGCGTCGATTAGCGTCTGGGAGTCGATGGGATAGCGTCGATTCAGCGTCGATCAGCGCCGATCCGCGTCGATTTAGCGTCGAGCAGCGCCGACTAGCGTCGATCCGGCGTCGACCCGCAAGAGCCAACAATATGGCATGGGAGGCCCCCACGAGCTGCCGCAGAAGTGGGTTCAGCGCCCCTCGCCGCGCCGCAGCCGGGCTGCGAGCAGGCCTGGGCCGCGAGGCCGAGGCCCCCGAGGTGCGCCCAGCGGGCCTGCGCGCGCCACGCCACGGCGCTGCGGCCGGTGCCGCCGTGGCCGCTCCCCTGCAGAGGGGGGCGCGCCGTGCCCTTCCCTGAAGCAGTGGCGAAGCGCCCTGGCCCGCCCAGAGGCCCACCAGAGAAGGTCTGAAGAGCCTCTTGCGGGCTGCAGGAGATGCTCTCAGAACCTCTCTGGTCGGGACTGTTCTGTTTTGACACATCGGGTTTGTGTTCCGAGAACGTTGTTTCGGTTCTGGAAGCGGTTCTGGGTTCCAAGGGCATGTCGTGGTAGGCCTACAGGATTGACGGGACGGTCGGTCCCTGCTCAATTTCTTCTCCCCCTATCAGCTCCCTCCCCATCCAGGCGCGCCGCTGCGCGTGCGGCGGCACCCGCGAAGCCTGCCAGCGCGCGGCCGAAAGGAGGGTGCCCCGCGCGCTGCCACGGGCGCCCCCAGGCGCTCGCGCCCCTCCGGGGTGCCCCCCCTGCGCCGCTGCGCGCGCGCCACGGCGCCTGCGGATCCTGCGGGCGCGCGGCCGCCCCAGACCTCCGGCGTCGTGACTTTTTTCGCAGCGTCGACCCCCCTCCTCCTCCTCCTCCTCCTCATCCTCCCCCCCCCTCCTCCTCCTCCTCTTCTGCCTCCTCCGCCTCCTCCTCCTCCCCCTGCGCCCGCCCCCTCACTCTTCCCAGACCCACGACGTCACGATTTTTCCATGGCATGACCCTCAAAAGTCTGGACCCCTTCCCGGGGACCAGTTTTTCCTCCTGAGTCGATGTTGTTGACGCTCCCGAGCCCCAAGGATAGCCCCTGGAGGCCGAAAATTCCGAATCACCTCTCGCCGTTCACGACGCAAGGGGGTCTGGGGAAAGAGAGCGCCGGCGCGCGCTGTGCCCAAGGGGCGCGCGCGCGCACGCCCCGAGTTATCAGGGATAACTGCGGTCCGGGGTAACACCCGTTTGGGCCCCCGAGGCGCGAATCTGCAGCTACCCATGACTGCCCCCCAGCCTCGATGATTCGGAGCTCTGAGAGGCCCCCAAGAGCTGCTACCGAAGCCTCCCACGACCTGGGCGTACGCCTGGGGGGCCAGAGGAGCGCGGCCGAATTATCAGGTATAACTCGTCGGCACACCCGTGGCGGGGAGAGGCGGCCAGCGGCTGAGAGGCACGGTGAGCACAGCGGCGCGGCCCCGCCCCGATCGCCGAGGCCACCGTGGCGTGCCCCGCGCACTTTCCGCCCGAGCTGGCTGCGGCGGGGCCGCTTCTTGCCGCATAGGCGCGCCGCGTGCACAGCTGGCCCGTGCCGGCAGCCAAGACCCCCTCGTGGCGTGGAAAAGAATCAGGCTGTTCGCCGTTTTCCGCCCCTGGGAGCCCTCACCGGGCTTCGGGAGAGTCCAACAACGACTCAGGATGAAACACCGGTCCCTGGGAAGGGGTTCAGACTTTTGGGGGTCGCGTCATGCAAAAATCGCGACGGTGGGGGTTGGCAGCCGCGCCCCAGGATGTCCGACGTCCGGCAGGCGTGGCGCCGAATGCCTCCCTCCCGCGCGTGAGGAAAGGCAGGCGCTCGAGGAAGAAGAGGAAGGCTACCTTCGGTGCGTGGCCCAGCGTCTGGGCGCGCCTTACCCAGACGCCTCGCGCGGGGCAGGGTGCGGGTCGCTCGTGGGGGGGTCCATCACGGCCATGCATGACCTTGCAGGGGAGAGACACGGGCCAGGGCCACCGAGAAGCCACGGGGCAGGCCGACCCCTGGACGGTGGCACGCCCAGAAGCGGCCGACGCTCCGGCCTGTCACCGCCCAGGGGTCGCCCCTCCCCCCCCCCGACGGGTTCTCGGTGGCGCTGGTCCTT